GAAGCTAACTACTACTACCCTAACAATTTGTATTAATGTGAGTTGACTATATATATATACATATACAGTAAACTCCCGATTATCTGGGCTAATAGTGGGGAGAGGTGGCATGGATAATCCAAACTATAATTATTTATTTCTAAAATACATCATGTAGATTCAATGTAGATTCAAATTTTTCAATTAATGTTAGTTTTTGTTTTATGTAAGTACGACTTTCTTTCAATTATTAGGCATTTTAAGGGCACTTATCTGAAAATTAAAAAAACATCTTATTTTACATAATTTTACACTAAAAGTATTTGTGGGAGAGTTATTTGAAAAAAATATTACGTATAATATGTATTATACATACGTACATATAATCAAATCTTAAATTGTAATACGTATTATAACATGCAACTAAACGAAACTTTGTATAAATGTACTCACTATCGTTTTCTTTTCCGAAAAGAAATGTCCGGCGCGAAAGAAGCAGCCTAACTAAAACCAGTCCAGCTGACTTCAGATACCCCTACCACCCACTTCAAACATCTAAATACGAACACGTGCACACTTATAGGATGTGTAAACATGAAAGCAAGCAACTATTTAAAAAATACATACACACACAATTATTTTCTTTAAATTAAATTCATGCATGGATAATCCACAAACCACATAATCGGGAGTTTACTGTACTGAATATATATACAGGAAATCCTTGTTAGTTCAAAATTCAGGGGACAAAATATTCATGACTGTATTATTGAATTATCTGAGATCTGTATAATATTCCAAATTCCATGTAACTGATGCAATTTATTAAGCAAATGGAATGCGACTACTTATACAGAATGCTATTTTCATTAATTAATTAATTAATAATAATAATATAAATAAACTGCAGGTAAACAGCACATGTCCAGTGAGAACCTCACAGGTTGCCAGATAGGTTTTATAAAAAGTAAAGCAGAATTCCTCAAAACATAGCCCAAATTATTTTTAAAGTGGCCCAAAAGTTGAAGCCTAGAGCCCTATAAAATCTCAATCTGCTACTTATAGCCCAGTCTTGCAATCCTAAAACCCAGCCATATTTTATGAGAAAAAAGAAGGTAATCCATGAGTAAGGTTACACCCAAAAATGTGTTACTATAAAAGCAGTCATATTGACCAGATTAGATTTGTTCTTAGTCTATTGTTCTCTTATAGCATGGAAGACCTTTGATATAAATGAACAAGTTAACATGCACATATAATAGTTTGGACAGAATTTTCACTTCAAATTACAAAGTAGCCATATTTTGAACTAACCAAATTCCTTAACATGTAAATCTCCATATCCCCAGCTGGGACAGAAGTACAGTTAATGGGATTTTGAATTAATGAGACTTTCCTAATATATATATATATATATTATTTGTTTAAATAAATAAATAAATATATATATATATTTATTTATATATTTTTTTCCAATAAAAACATGCTTAGTACCAAAATTTTTACTAATACAAAGACAGGTTTCAATTTAATTTTTTTTGGTTCTAATTTATAAATGTAAATTGAGAATTGTGTACTTCTGAAAATGAATTTGATAGATCCCACAATTAAAAATACAGATGGATTAAACATTGATTTTATTCTTGTAACTAAAATCTACATTCTTGTAAGAATGCTGTTTGCAAAATCATAAAAAGAATGATTATAATTCTAAATTATATACAGATTGCTCTCACTTTATACTAGTAATGCATTCCTGGAGGAATGCCAAACAAAATCAGCACAAAATAAATCCATTTCATTATGAAATAAATAGGGATGCATTTCAGTTATTAACAATTTGTGTATGTATATATATATATTAATTGACTTACCTTAAAACAAACACTGATAAAGTGAATTTTGTCATTGCCCTGGCAAAACGTCATTGTCACATTAATTTTCACATGATAAAATGAACAAAAATTTTACCAGAATTCGTTAAACTAAACTGAGATTACATTCATAACCCCAAAGAAATAACCCTATTTCCAATAATGACTTTATTATTCATGTATAAAAGTGTAAAAAGCAAAGTGGTACTGTAATAAATATTCCATTTTGAATAATTTTCTTCTAGTAAGCAGACAGGTTCAACCTCCAATTGTAGAGAAATTCAAACATCTGGTTCTAGCAGACCATTCTACTGTACTCAGAAAATAGGAGTTAAACTTTAAGAGCATCCAATCCTTTAAACAGATGCATTTCCATGCAAACACTTGCTACTTTGCACATCATAGGGTGCATAGTAATGCCAGCTTTGGCTACTTTTCACCAAATTTGGCTCCTTTTTTACTCTTTTGGCAGCAAAAAATATTTTCTACTTTTTCAAACAATTTTCAACAGAAAAATAAAAATCACAGATTTCTTTTAGTTTTTTGTTTCGTTTAACCACTGATATACTGCTCCACACTTCAAGGTTGAATACCATCTCCTCCTCACTTTGTTTGGTTTGAAAATCATTTAGATCATTAATTTATTTATTTTACTTAGTAAATTAATTCAGAATATCATAATTTAGAGATTTCAACTTCTTATTAATCTTTTAACTCTATAAATTATACAACCTTGAGCTTGAACCTGAAAATTGTTAATATGAATTTTTAATACACTGAACTAACTACTGTTTCCTGTTTCCCTAGCAATTCATATTAATGCAAATTGACTATATATAATTTCTTTTTCTTTTTTTCAATAAAAACATGCTTAGTACCAAAATTTTTATTAATACAAAATAATAATAGTATAAAAATTATAACTTAGACTTATTTATGGTCAAAATTGAGGGGCTTAGCATTTATATAAGTCCGAAATGCATATGTGGAAACAATAAAAGAAGTGTCTAACCTGATAGCTGTAATGATAGTCTACCAAACTTAATTTCGGATTAAAGAGACATACATACATAGATTGATTATGCAATTTAAAACTGCCACTTTGCTGATCTTGTGCAGCAGTGTTGCTGGGTGCAACTTCAGTTCTGCAATGATGATTCCAGTTGAGGGTCATCCACCAAGGGCTAGGCTGAGGATCATGCACCTCCATAAATATGAATACAAAGTTGTTTGCTATGTCTTTTCCTCTTCTTGAAAATTTCATAAGATTCTAAGGCTTCATATAAACTCCTACTTACAAAATCACTTTGTTACTTTGCACTTCCTGTCAGAGTCATTCTACAACACAGACATGGGCATTTAGATTCACTAATTACCTTTTATTTGACTTGGCTGTTCTTTTTTCATTTTTATTATTACACAATAACTTCACTTTTAAATTGTGAACTACTGTGTAAACAATAAATACCTTACAATAATAATAAACCAACACTGCTCAGAATCACTATTAAAGTGAAGTGTCTACTAGCATTACAAGTGCTACCACAAGGTGTGAAAAAATATTTGTATTTAACAGTCGCAAAAGAATTATTGAGACTTTATTAGAAAAAATTTGAAACCAGTTATTGCCAATCACTATAAATCAAACCAGTGCAGTCTATATTAAGATGCTAATATTCAACAACTGAAAATATCTTCCTGTGGTGACAAATTATACAAATTAATAGATTTAACTTAGTTAATTAACATTTAACATTAATTATAAATTTATATATAATACAAATTCTTTAAAAATACTTAGTAGTTATAGTAGTAGTATTTTTTATCTAACATTTCATTTTAAATGCTACAAACTGTATTTGCAAGACAACACTATCAACATTATGACTAAAATTAAGATGTATCAGTTATTCAAAAATTTCCTATTACTAAAATTTTCATGTGGTTGATTCAAATTGTATTAAATAAAACAATTGTAAATATCAAAGTAATAGTATTACTATTACTTTGATATTTACAATTGTTTGATATGTTAAGTAGAAGTAACAATCATTACTTTTGAGAAATTTCAAATGCTCTTGATTTAAGAAATAAAATGGCATTAAATTTTGCACAAAGATTTTGGCTAATTCAATTATTATTGTCAAGTTTATTAGCTATCAAATTCTAGAATACTGATTCAAAATTTATTGAAATGTAGCATATATTCCATCCATGTAAGTTTAAAAAGTTAATTTGCATTACATTTCATGATTACACTTACATATATATTTCAGTTATCTATACAAGTGTAATCATGCAATTTCCATGTTTTCTATTTATTTGTAGCCCATCTGATTTAGATAACATTTTATACTGTATTTATAGATCTTTAGTACATCTGAGTACTTAATTTAAGCTATGTTACATATCTGCTTAATTATGACAGCATTATCCAAAGGACTACATTACCTTTCTGGGTGAAAAAAGCAAAAAAATAATAATAAAATGTTGAATGGAGACTTTTTCTGGAGTCATACTGGTGTTCTTTGACTCCTGCATTCAGAAATCAGAAAAAAAGGATTTGAGCCAAATATTATAGGACTTCAGGAAAGGTTTCTATTCAACTTCCATTTCAACATTTTCCATCCAGCATTAGCAAAGTACATAAAAATACTGGATTTATAAACATATTGTAAAAGTAGGTTGTATAAATCTTATACACACCAAGAATATAATCAATGCATGCAGGCTACTGTATTACTATATTACCTTATAATTAATTATACTTGTATATCATATTTTACATAAATTTTAATTTTTTAAAAATGTAATCAAATATATATATATATGTTATGTTAATACATTTGAATAATTTTTAAATCAGTGTTCTAGAATTTGATAGTTAATGTAGTTAGAACTGGATAGTTAATTACCTAAAAATGTTCATTCATGCAAAATTTTAGATGCAGGAAAATAAAAGTTTACTTTTTCATATTAATTACTTTAGTTAAATGAATTGCCTTTGAATTTCTGAAAATGAATTTTATGCAATTCAAAAACATTTTGTGTCTTTTTTATAATAAAACATCTTCAAAAGTAATGACTTTTCATTTTATTATATTAATATAATTTAGTCTTATAAGAATAAAAACATAACATACATAATTACTTAATTATAATTTTTATTGGCAAAATTATACAAAACATCACCATAAACTTATTAAACTACTTCTTACAAGATGTACACAGCAGATCAAATTATCGCTGTTTGTCCTGTGATATACTGACATGTAACTAAGAACATGTTATGCAACAGTATTGTAATAACACAAGACCATTTATGAATTTTGAGGTACCATTTCTTTTTTCAACAGGTGCAATCAATCAATCTAAGTATTTTTTCTGTCATCCTTATCACATATATGTTGCAGAATTTCAAAAACTATTATTAGTATAACCAAATAAGTTGGTTTGTTTTAATATTTAAAAGAAATGAGAATTTAACTTTGTTAAAATTTTTTATTGATTTGTTTTGGATAAAATTTCTAATTATTATCAAATTTATATTCATGTGTATGTTAAATTAAAAAGTGATGCTTACATTTGAAGACGTTCTTTAGAAACTTTCCTTTTTATATAACACATTTTATGTGATTATCAGTTGATGAACACAAAACCAAAGCCAGGAATTCACTGTGATAATATTTGACTATGGAAATGAATCACATTACATGGATATTGTCTCATCACAATTCTCACACATCCCAGTAAATAAAAATTTCATTCATTCATCAAATAGGCTGCATAAAATTGCAGCTACAGGAACCTTGAATGAAGAAGTCATTATGGCTGATAAATTAAATACCAGCATACAATTTATTAACAATTTTTCTGATGGACAATCTTGATCACTGTGATGATGGCGGGGGGAGGGTTGTTGCTTGAGGAGTGACTGTTGAATACTGATAAGACATTGGAGCATTGACATACATCTGATGACTTGGTGCAGCATAAGTATAACCTGTTGGTAATGCTGATGAAGCATACGGTATAGTATAACCAGCTGGATAAGCATAAGGCACTGTATATCCTTGCAGTGTGGGAGCAACAGCTGTATGAGTTGCAGTGGTATAATGCGTAGCCAATTGCTGATGTGCATGTAATTGGGCTGCATGATGTAGTTGCTGAAATGAGTCAGTCTGTTCTTGTGTCAATGATACAGTTGCCACTGTTGTCACAGTTGTTGGTTTCTTTGGAGGCGGTGGTGGTGGAGGAGGCGATCTTGGTGGTGGAGGAGGGGGAGGTGGTGATTCATCTCCTGCTTCCGGTTCAATAAATCTAGGAAGGTATTTTACTTTTACTCGATGTCTTTTCTCTTTAGGTGGAGGAGGTGGTGGCGGTGGTGAAGGAGAATCACTTTCATCAACCCTTAAGGGTTCTTTACCTGGAGGAATACCATCTGCAAAAGTAACAGACTTTTTTGGTTGCTCTGATGAAAACTCTCTTCCAGCTTGAAGCAATATTCCTGCTTTGGGTGGTGGAAGTGGGAGTAATATGGGTTTAGTTCCAGGTGGTCCATCATCTGGATCAGGTTGAACAGATTGAGAATTATCTTCTTCAGATTCCACATCAATGTCCATATCTTCTGATTCTTCTAACAATTTTCCTTGATTTTCAAACATATCAACTTGTCCAAATGAAGAATCATCAGAACTTAATCCTACAGTTGTTGGATTATCAGGTACTGGAATGCTCTGCAAATCAATTGTTTCTACTCCTGGTGGAGGAGGATCATTAGCAGATTCTTGTTCATATATTTCATAAAGGCATTCATTCACTGGATATTGTAATTCATATACATCCCGATGTAATCGATTCTGAATACTTTTCAAATCTGTCATTATATCAGATTGATTGCTATGTACATTACTCTTTTGACATTTATTATCATAAACATTTTCATCTCCATAATGCTGCGTAGTGGAAATATCTGCATAATAATCTTCATCTCCATCAGTTTGATTACGTTTACTAATACTAAAATCTTTGTCTTGATTGGAAGAAGTTACATTTTCTTCTTGTTTTTCATTATCTTTTTTAACACTTTTTCTTGTTGCTGGTATTTTTCCAATTAGTGGTAAGACTGCTTTATTTTCAAGCTCAGGTGGAAGTTTTGGTCCAAAATAACCTTCAGGAGGATTTTTCAATTTAAGTACAGCACTGACTGTTCTTAAAGTGGAATCTGAAATTATCTGTCGTTTTCTCTTTACACGTTCAAGTAGCTGTTTTGCTGTAGCTTTAACGCGACTTTTAGCTATTTCTGATGTTTCCTCATTAGGTTTTAGTTTTTCACTGTTTTCAGAAGTTGAAAAACTCTCTCTTGAAGACACATCATTACTATTTTCTGAACTCTCAGACATATCTTCTGGAAGAAATTCTTTAATAAATCGATTCACATTAGTATCAAACTGTACATCTGGAGAATCTGTTGTTAAACTATTACTATCTTGCATTTGAACAAACGAATCATCAGAACCTGTTTTAAAATCATCAGATGCTGTTTTAAATTGATATATATCTGTAGTTGAAACATTATCAACACTACTTTCAACTAAGGATGAAGTACTAGAATCTTCAATATACTGAAAATGTGCATGTTCTTTATATGTTTCAAAATTTTCATTTTCATCCTTACTACAAATCTTGTCAGTAGCAGCAGAAAATTTACAATGATAATCTTCACTGTAGTTTTCTGTGGATTTTTCAGTTTCTTTTATCTTGGTAGAATTATCTTTCAATGAATAAATACCATTGTAATCATTATTGCCTTTATCATCATCATCAATTTGTTTGTTTATGCTTTCAAGTTTTGTTGCATTAGAATTTTCTTGTATCATTTTCAGAGGTACATTAACTAAATTAGATTCTTCACTCTTTTCATTGAAATTCTCTTTTAAACATGCAGACTTAAATGATTCAGAATTATTTATTGCATTACTTTCTTCATCTTTTAACTTTTCACTTTCCTTCAGTTCCTCATTATTTTGTTTATTTATAGAAAACTGACATATATCATTACTGATCTGACTATCAGTAATGTAACAGTTGTCAATGTTAGAATTATAATCATCAATATTAACTTGTGATGATAAAAATGCATTTTCTTTATTGCATACATTATTATTATTATTATTATTTTGGAAAATCATTGATTGTTGTGATTCATCAACTTGTGATGTAAATTCATTTTCTTCTGCATCTTTACTTAAAGTCTTTACAGGCACTAAGTTTAACTGCTCCATGAATTTATCATATTCAGAAATTAAATTCTTGCTATCGTCCACTGGTGCTTCTACTTCTTTTTCTTCTTCGTCCATTAACTTTAAATTTTCCTCCATATTTTCTACCTTTTCCAATTCTTTATCGTCATTGTCATCATCACCACCTAAACTTTTAGTTATCTCATTAATTGAATTTTGTTCATCTGAAGCAACACCTTCTTTTTTATCTATAGCCTCTAATGTATTTTCCTCTGTTTTCAATGGACTGTTATGTACTCTTTTTATAGCTTGCCATTCATCATCATCTGAAGCAGAATCAGTATCCCATTTTGATTTTACAGTTGGTGGCATATTCTGGGTAGTTTTCACATTCTCGTCATTACCTGCTTTTGAAATAGGCGACAATGCTGGTTTTTCTTGCTGTTTCTGATTCTGTTGCTGCTGTTCTTGTTTATGCTGTTGCTGTTCAGTGATCTTTTTCTTTTCTTCTGGAGATGATTCTGTTACACTTCTTTGAGTATGAGGACTTTCTCCATAACTGTAACATGACTGTAAAGCTTGTAAACCACTCATTTCTTTCAAGTTAGGTGAATCATTTGGGCTTCTAAATTTCTTTTGTCTTGGTGGTGAATAATTATGTGACTTTTTGTGTGATCTACAATATCTTAAATTACAACAATAAGAAATGGATGGTCTTTTGTGTGTATACTTAACAAATTCAATTGGCCATCTAATAATTCTTTTATTTCGACCTATTACATTTATGTAATCTTTTCTATTTCTTGACTGTGATTTATATTTATAAGATGACTCATCATATCTATTTTCTTTATATGCACTTCTGTAACTTTTGAATTCTCTTCGTGACTTTGGTGAGTATACAGGTGATAGTTCTCTTGAATGTTCTGCATGATAATTTTTATCTGAACTGCATCTTTCTTGATACTTACTTTTTTCATCAGAATATTGCTTTTCTGGTTTCTTGTCACTATATTTTTTCTCTTTTGTTTTATTTGCTAATTCTAACTGAATATCATTACTTTTCTTTAAATTTTTTTCCGACTCTTCATTATGCTTAATTTCTACATCTGATTCATTTCTTGAATTAATTCTGCTTTCTTTAGGTTTAATTATTTGCTTTTCTTTTTGATCTACAGAATTCATTTCTTCTTCATCTAAACTGTATTTAGTTTTCTTATGTATCTTTTTAGGTGAAGAAGTTTCTGGAAGGTTAGACTGCTTTCTTTTAGATAACTGTTCAAGAGGACTGCCTTCTCTACTACTTGAAAAATGTTTTTGCTCACTATCCAATTTAGGATCTGTTTTATATTCTTTTACTGAAGAGATGGTTTTATTCTCTTTCTTTTCTTGTACTTGAAGAATTTCATTTGATTTTTCTTCTTCATCAGAACTACTACTATTACTGCTACTACTATCACTGCCACTGCTGCTACTGCTGCTATCACTACTACTACTGCTACTACTTGTAGCACTATATGAATTGCTTGAACTGCTGCTACTACTACAACTGCTGCTACTACTGCTATCACTTTCACTACCACTACTATCCTCTTCAGTTTTTTCTACTACCTTTTCAGAATTATTATCAGCATTATTGTGTGTTTCGACACAATTTTTTGTTTTGGACAACTCATTTGGTTCTTTTTCAATATTTTGCTTTTCCTGTCTAGTTTTTGAAACTTCTGAATATTTTTTGTTTTCAAATTCTTCATAGCATTCATCTATTTCATCTTCTTGTGTTTTATCTTTACCACTGACATTGGTATAATTTTCATTTTCATCAGCAAAATCTTTTTCTTGATGGTATTCATCAACAGATTTTTTAATATTATCACAATCAATTTCCATATCATCATTTTCTACTATTTGACTAGATTTCAGACATTGAGATCCATATTCACCTTCAGAATCACTATTAGTACTTTCATATTTTTTAAAACTTAACATTGATATATCTTTATCTTGAGATTCTTCTACTAAACATTCTGCATTTTCATTGCTTATGGTAGTTGATTTTTCTAAGCTTTCAAATTCAACATATACTTCAGTCTGTTTTTTTTCTATAGCATCACTATTATTTTGTTGAATATCTGACAAATTATCCATATTTTCTTCTATTGTCTTATTTACAGCTTGTGAATCAATTATTTCTTCAGAATGATCTTGTGAAGCTTCATCATCTGATGAAACAGGCAAGTCTTGAGTGTTTTCTTTTATTTCATCACATGTATATTGGTTTTGAGCATCATCAAAAGAATCATCTTCATTCTGCGATTCTGTCTCTCTAGATATTTCTATATTTTCAACTTCTTCTTTAATTGAATGTGATTTACATGATTTAGGATGTGTTTTATCATTTAATAATTCATATTTTGTACAATGCAATTGCTCACAATCTTCTTGTTTTAATTTAATATCTTCAGGATTATCTCTCTCTTCACAATCATCATTTTTACACATTTTTGAACTATCTTTATATTCTATATTCTCAACAGTTTCACACTTTATTTCCACTTTTTTCTCACTTCTATGTTCTTTGGGAGAATATTTACTTGAATGTTTGGATTTTGATTCCCTGTGTGAATGTTCAGTTCTCTTCTTGTAGCTATGTCGATCACTTTGATAGTTTGAATGCCTTTTACGAGAAGGACTTCTACTTCTACTTCTTTCACGACTTCTTTTATGACCACTCCTGTCTCTACTCTTATTTTCATAATAATAATCACTAGAGGAATATGATCTAGAGTAATCTCGCTCATCTTTCCTCTTGTCTGATTTATATCTTTCACGGTCATCATATTTCCTATCTAAATGTTTTGATGATTCAGTATCTTTATGTTTTCTTGAAGATGATTCATAATCTTTTCTTTCTTTCCTTGAATCTTTTGTACTTTTATCATGTTTATGTTTAGAATCTTTTGATGATTTAGAATCTTCAGATTTTTGTAAAATATTAGCTTTTACAAAACGTACAAAGTCAAATTTTGGTTTTATTGAACAACTTTCTGGTGGTTGAATATGATACATTTCTTTATCTTTTTCAGATTTCGATTTAGATGTTTTCTGATCGTCTGAACTTTCTACACTTTTTTTCTCAGATTCTTGATGACCATCATCATCATCACTATCAGTATGACTATGTATTTCTTCATCCTGGAATAAAGAATCAGTCTGTGTTTGCAATTTATTTGCCTTCTTTGAGAAACTGAAAGATAAACCACTTGATTTAGACAGATCTTTGTCTTCAGCAGCTAAAACATCTTTCATCTTATGAGGTGCAAGTGTTTGAGTGAATGCCAACAACCTTTTTTTAGCCAAAGCTTTACCCAATAAAGCCTTTGATTTTGATAAATTTTTACTATCAATCTTATTTTCTTCAGTAGTACAAGGTGAAGAATAATTTACACTTTCATTAATTGATATTTCATTAGGTGAGTCCTTTTTTTCTGGGGAAGTGGGAAAATTCACTTCAATTTGATCAGAAGAAACTGGAGGAAGCATTGGTTGAGAATCTGGAAGAGTATATAACAGAGGTGATTCTGGAAGAATAGCAGGTTCAGGTGATTCAGGACTAAGTGGCTGAGGTGAATCTGAAGGAAGTGGTGGCAAATTAACATCATTTCTGGTAAAAAATATTGTTTTATAACTTGATTTATTTTCATAGGAAGAACTTAATTCCTCTGACTCACTAAAACTTTTCTCATCAGAAAATTCTGTTACATTGATTTCATCTTCTGATGATTCTCTTTCACTATTTTCAAAATCACTTTTTTCTTTTTCTTCTTTCTCTGTTGATAATGGAGAAGAAACATTTTCAGCAGAAACTTCTTGAAAAATATCATCAACAATGGTATTTTCTTCAATAGTAACATTTTCTTCATTGCCATCACCTTCATCATTACTTTCAGTGATGGAAAATGTATCTTCACCAGGAGGCAAAGGTTCTTCTGATGTTTCATCAACATCAATTGCTTTGAATCCTGGTATAAATTTCTCTCCAGTTCCCATTTCAATAGGACCTCTAAAAAAAATAATTCATGAATATAGACAATGATTTTTGTTAAGTAAAATAAATTTGATATTAAAATTCAAAAATTTTAAACAAACAATTTTATATAAATGCAGAACAATGAAAAAGTAGTAATAATATGATATAAATTATAAAACTAAGCTATGAAAACTGGAAAAAATTATAACTATCAAATAACAGCTTGTAAAACTGGATGCAGTTCGAATAGTGATACCAGAACTCCAGCAACAAAAAATACTTCAATAAGCAAACAAACATTTTCAATGTCTTAAGTTAATAGCCTGATGATGACAGGTTGGATGGTCAAGCAGTCAAAGTGGCAGCCTACTGCTCTGGGGACCTAGGATCTAATCCAAATAGGTCAAAATATCCCCAGAAATTTTTCAGGGGGGGGGGGGTGGTTCATCTGGATATGTTTAGTCCTGTCCCTCACCACCCAGCTGCCCCATTGTGGGCCTGGCCAAACCCATAATGGGCTTGCTAAAAAGAGGCTCTCTTAGTGCCCTGTAGAAAGAGTTATGAAAAAAACAAAAAGCCCAATAATGGCTGTTTATTAAATCTGAACAGAGATCATGATTAGAACACAATTTTAAATAAAAGGAACATTAATATTATTGGATGCAATAGAAGACATGTATTAATTCAAATAAATTATTGTTCATGCTGTTCATAACAGGAGTACAATTAATGCACTTCATAAAAGAACTTTCAATCAGGTGAGATTGTGTATATGTCTTTGTAATTAATGGTCTTTGATTTTCTAGCTGCCTTGTACATTTCCAGCTTCTCAAGATGTTTGTGGAGGATAACCTCCCAAGTTGGATACAAGATTGTAGTTTCCTTTAGGATTATCTGAATATCATTGTCCAATGTAAATATACATGTTGCTCATCCATTAGTAAATTAATTTACAAAAAAAATGTACTTACCTAATTTCTGCTGCTTGAGCTCTTATTTCAGCTAATTCATGAAGCCTTTTAATTTCTTTCTCTCTTTTTTTATCTTCTTTTCGCCACTTTGATGCAACATTTCGTCCAAATTCTCTTTGTTTAAGTTCTTTTAACCTCTGAAAAAAAATTGTTTCAGTTGAAAATGTGCACAAAAATTTTTCATCAAAATATTTAAATGCATATTTAGAAACTTGAAAAACAAATAAAACAAGAATTGGATTTGACTTTAAAATGATTCTTCATAAAAAATTATCAAGCAAAAGTGAATGTTATAAAAAAATTATTCATAATATCAGGTTGTAAAGTGAAATTTAGACATTTTGACTTTTTTCTAGAAATGATTGGAAAAAATTCTATAATGTTCAATGTGGGTATGTAAGTAGAGTAACTAGGGGATGTTTCATCACAGAATTCATTGGAAATAGAGACTAGTTATGTCTGACAATATGAAGATTTTGAAAGAACACATTTGCATGCTGTTGTTCTATCACTTCAAAGTGAGAATGACACCTGAGACTTTCTTCAAAGAAAATCCCCAGTCATTCTTACTCATGGGATTGAAAGTTTGTAGCAGAGGTAAAGATGGGATTGTTATTAATGGGGATTACCTACTAGGCTGAATAGCAATTGAGTAAACTGTGAATAGTTTATTTTGTTCAAATTGTCTAAATTTCACCTTTACAACATGATATATTTCATAAACACAAGGGCTATTTTTTTAAATAAGGTCTGTTTTTTAATAAGAAGAAAAATACTGTAAATATCATTAATATATATTTTTTCCCATATTCTACATATTTTTATCTACTTTTCTACATAATTTCCATTTTTGTTCAAGCATTTGTTATACTGCTCAAAAATTTTTTAAATTCCGACTTCAAAGAAATCTGCCACCTGCCACTGAAAGACATTAGGCCACACCACTTGTCTTGTATGGCACGGCAGAGTTTTCTGAAAGGTCACAATAAGCATCAGAGTTGATTGTTGTGCCTCTTGGCATAAAATCCACTAACAAAGTCCCTTTCCTGTACCAAAAGACAGTTGCCATGATCTTTCGTGCTGAAATCGAATAACAGATTGTATCTTACAGTCAGCGGGCAACTCAATTTTCTTAAACATTATAAACTTCTACAGTTCAGCACACAGACAGACGATACGGCTGCAAATGGCATCTAAACATGTGCAAAGCATGCTGAAAGCAGATGCTCATGCACATTGCTGCAATCGCGCGTCATTCTCACTCTCATTCACAAACGGACTTTATTTAAAATATAGCCCTCACATATATATATTTCTTTCAGTTAGAGGAGGAAAATCTAATTTGGGAATTTTTCTGTTTAAATCTTTAAATTTAATCAATAAAATTATCAATACTTTTTAGATAGTATTACTGTACAGATACTTCTAAATATAGCTATTATTATTAAATCACCATTAATAATTCAAAATTACACTAGATTTATCATCAAATAAATCTTAATGAATAGTAGCCATGTAAAGAAACACTTATTTTAAAAATTTACAAATAATTTTTCCATAATATTAATAGAAGTAGCTTGTTTATTTCTATTAAAATATGTAAACAAAATATTTTTTATACTTTTAGTAAAACAGACTATCAATTTCATAAAGATAAAGTTATTTGCAAAAATAAATGCTCAGATAACAATATGAAAAACTGAATATCTATTAAAAAAAAAGAAATTTAAATAAATATATATTTACAAAAATACAATATTTTATATCCTGTACCCTTCCTTCATACCTGGATCAATTTTAATTCATTTCAAATAAGCCAATGCATTTATTTTTGACAATGTGATTATTTTTGGTGTCACACTGTCAAAAAAACATGAAAAATAATTTTGAAAATGCAAAATTTGCAACTTGTAAAATCTTTTATTATGTAACAGTGTTGGTTAGTTATTGTAACTAATGCCTTTATTTGATTAAATTATGAGAATTTTTTAAGTTATTAAGATATAAATTTATCAGCCGCAAACTGATGTTTTCTTTAATATTTCAAGCAATATTGATATTTTGAAGTTAGGTAACTGATTTTGACAACTGAGTGACAATATTATTATTTTTATGTATGATAAAGTAATCAAATATGACAAAACTAACTGAATAATTTTAAAAACAATGTTTTTCTAAGTACAATAGAACCATTATATCCTAATTTAACAGCCTTATAACTGAGAAGAGAGACTTTTTATAGAGTAATAAAACACTTTGCAGTTTGTTTAGTTTACAAGTGAGTGTAACTTTAAAGACACTCTTCCACAAAAGTAATAAAGTTTTACTACCCTAACCTTGAAAGACAACCTATCAATCTCCAATTACAAAGAAATTAGATGTCAATCTGTGAAACATGATATAATTTACTAGGAGTATAATTAATATGCATCAATGTCCTTAATTTAAACAAATTATTCTTTCAATCACCATAAAAGTGTATTTCTATTAATAGGACTTATCACACTGGTGTATAAGATTACAGCAACACAGTCACACAGATTAATATATTTATAAATTATATTAATAAGATAGGACTTATCACCAGTGTGATAAGTCCTATTAATAGAAATACACTGTTATGGTGATTGAAAGAATAATTTGTTACTAGGAGTATAATTTAACTTGTTTATTTTTCAGCATTTTAGATCAAATTATATTAAAATAAACATCAGAAATGCATTTTCTTCAATCCATGAGTATTTTATATTGTTAAAAAAAGACAAAATGTAGAAATTAAAAATATAGTTTTTGATAAGTGTAGTATAGTAAAATTAAGTGTAGTTTTTGAGGCTATGCTGATAATTTCATAATTTTAGAATAAAAGCATCTGTAAGATGCCATGCAACTAAAGGTAATTGTTCAAACTACATAACTAAGGGTATGTTTTAACTTCATCTGTGTTATTTCCAACATATATCGAGGTTGTGACCTTTGACTCACTGGGTTAAACCCAATATATCTCTTTATAGCATCAGTATGTTTTTGATACTAGATGTCTGTCACTGTGCATCATAATTTTAATATTAAAACTAACTTTTGAAATATTGATATAATTTTTTTGTGTTTTTATATTTTTCAAAATATTTATTTTGTTTGTGCAAATAATAAATAAAAAATAATTTTTAATGATACAGTAGCCATGATTATTATTTTTAAAAAATTTTTTCGTTCAGCTTAACATCAACAAAAATTCAAGGTTGCGGCCACATGCAACGGAGAAAAATTTCAACATGGGATAGGTTAAAAGAATCTTTAGTGTCTTGTAGTTCTTGCCTAGATATATATAACAGTATAGTCAGGCATACAGACACTAAGCTATTCTGCAACAAATTCTTCGATAAATGTTGCAATTACCACTTCAAATCTCTCATGCTTGTAGATTGCCAAAGTTACTACTGGTCCCACAGACAATGAGAACAACAAGTCTGAAGGCAGGCCAAGGAAGTGTGGTAACACGACAGACATTCCTGGGAAGCTTTAGCTGATTATTTATCTTAGTGGAAAATGGTTGTTTGCATCACTACTATAAAAGGCAACATGAGGGACTAAATTTCCTGTACATACCACTGAGACCTCAGTGTCCTTTGCACCATTACTAGGGTGCAAAGGACACTGAGGGCTGATTGACTATGGTACAGGATGGCTGACTATCATACAAGACGCTCTCAGACCAGCACTAATGGCAGGATTGAAGCGCTCATCAGTGGTTTTCCATACTAACATGTTGGTTTTCCATTTCCAAACAGAACAAGGACTTGTCACGAAAGATGATAAACTACCAGTCCATAGAAATCCATGCTTCTCTGTCATGACACTACTACAAATAAAGCCAGCAATGTTTGGATGCTAATGATAGGAATGTATAGCAGTTACCATGCATGCAAATAGGCCTCTGCTAATTGCCTGCCAATAGCATAGAGACAGAAAGAAAGAGGTTCTATAGCAAGGTTTCCATGTGTCTGTGAATGGTGAACAAAGACATCACTGCAGTTGTTTATGTTTGTCTCATGATCAAACAATTCTCTCTCCTGGTGATCTGTTTGGAGTGTTCAGAGCCTGACACACATGTATGTGTGCTCTCATATATACATTTCATATCTACTGTCTCTCACACCATTTCATAGTCAGGTCAGACCAGATGATGGGAAATTCAACAAAATGGCTAGCTTGCTTCCTTCAGCCTTACAATGCAACCTTTCTCAAACTCTATCAGATGTGTATAATGTTTTTGACTGTGTCTTATAGTCATGAATAATGTTTGAAGACATCCACAGCATACTAGCAGGTATACTGAAAATTTTGAACACAGTGTTATTTTTTATAGAATGTTGTAGTAGTAAGTTTAAGAACTTATGGCATTATCTGGCATCAAACTACACATGTAAACATTTAAATATCTATATACTAAATCTAAGTATCTAAGTATGTAAATTGTAAATTTTTTTATCAATGAGTGTAAGTATTGGAAGCTAAGCTTCCTTTCATTATTGCTGGTTATTCTTTAGAAAATATTTTGAATGCAGATAAAACAGGACTCCTCTTTCATACTCCCAAATAGTGTTGCCACCTTTTCAAAATCACTGACCCAGACAGCAGGTCAGGTTTCTTCGAACAGAAGTCCTGACGCATGCGCAATGTCATTTTACAATGCGAAGAATAATGTGCATGCCAGTTACAGTTACAAATCAGTTACAGTTAGGGACTAGGGACTTGTGTAGGAGTAACATAAATTAAAAAAGATCAGGTACAGATGACTTAGCTTGTAGGCATGTTAGCATGTAGGCAATTCCCAGACTGTCCAGGTGAAAACTGGACGGCTGGTAACACTACTCCCAAACCAAACTTTGTGAATCATGTTCCAGCAGCACAATAGCAAAAGAATGATTAACAGCTCTGTAAAGAGCAAATATGAGCAAAGAACCCATGATTATAAAAAATCTGAACAATCAAGATATTTCAAGAATACAAACACATTACAATCCTTAAAATGAATGGAAATCAAACAGAATCATACAATTGAACCTGTTTAAAACTGAAAGTAACAGAATTTTTCCATTTTGTCAGGTTTCTTTTTATAGTGTGTTGTTTTTTTATT